TATATATATATATATACAGTGTATACTGTACATATACACACGCTGTTCAAATCTTACCCTGACTAAAAGACAAATCAGAACTTTTTGATGTTTATAAGGTGTGATAGTGGTCTTCCTTAAAAACAAAGACTTTGTGTTTTAGATGAAAATACAGGAAAGGGTGTTTTTCATGGATCCCATGAAGCTCTTCCAGTCACGTCTAGAGCACATTACACAGGTTTGTTCACCTCCACCCCTTTTTTACTGCTGTCCTTTTTTTAATAGCGCTGTCATTGTGTTTCACCTTATTGATGATCTTAAGAAAGCCGCGGCTTGATATCCCGTACGCGGTCTCAAGGTGCGTACCCTCTCAGATTGCAGATTTTCAGCGGACACAAATGCAGCGAGCCACGGCATACTTCAAGCACAAGTCAGTTGAACTGGAAAAGCGTCTGAAAGAAGTCACTCAGCAGAGTTACAGGTGACGGAAAGGAGGTCTAAATCGCTCCCGTAGCTGAGACGGATATTTGTCACCGTTGCTTCTTTGGTCATAAGGCAAATCGCTGAATTGAAAAGAGAGAATGCCGATTTAAAAAGCCGAAATATGGAGCTGAAACAAGAGATGGCCGAGCTGAAAAAGCCTCTTTCACAGAGGAGGGTACGTGGGTGCCCCAATTTTAAATTTCCCAACTGCTTTTGGAATTGTTCAATAAGCGTTCCACTATGCTCTCTTTAGGGTTCTCCGGGACAATTCCAGACAAATGGGTAAAGGCAAATGTACTTCTCACACTCAAATGTCTTGCGTTGAGGCTGTGACTGAAACTTGAGTCTCATACAGTGTTCAAAGGATCTCGCTCCCTGTGGCTGTCGCTTCTCCTGGTAATCCAATGACCTTTTTCCTATGTCTTAAAACAGGGGTGTGAAACTCATTTTCGTCACGGGCCTGATTTTTTTTCCCTTGGAGGGCCGTTATGACTAAAACCATATAAAGAAGTCAAGAATAACCCTTTATTCACCTATTGTTTAAGTTACTGTAATGAGGGATTTGGTGACAAGAACATGCTTACAGTATCACTATTTATTACATAGAGATTTTAGCAAGCATCATGAAAGTTGACATCTTTGATTTGCTTTCACAGGCCACAGAAAATGAAGTGGCGGGCCAGATCTGGTCCCCCGGCCTTGAGTTTGACACCGGTGTCTTAAAACAATGTTTTTAGATCGTGTTTGTGATTAAGATGGATTGTGCCAACCAATTTCCTATGAAACTCTGCAGAACGGTGTGTTTGAAAAGATAAGCGCTGTTACATGACTGTGTGAATCCACATCCAGTTGCAGATCGTGTATCAACATTTTATTATTATTCCGCACGACTCCTAATAATGAAACTCCGACGAGCAAAAGTTGGGCATTTTCCACCGTTGCTGAGATGCGTTTGTTACTGAAACACCACCATTTTTTGTTGATCAATCGAATATTTTTAATCCTCACACTGAACTTGTTTTCTATCTCCAGTGACCCCTCATTTAAGAACTATGAGGTATGTCTGCCACAGCCATTTTGTTTAATAGCCTCAAAAAAAAAAAAAAAAGGCTTTACATCTGTGTTGTGTGGTTTTCAGCCAGCTGGGTCCAGTAGATTCCCCACTGTGGACCCGAGACCGAGGTCTTGCATCCCGTACAGTTAAGTGCCAGCATTAATCTATGACAATTTTTGATCAAATGAAATGAACAAAACAACGTACTGTGCGCATTTGCAGTATTGCGCTGATCATGGAGTCAGGGCATGTTCAAGACTCATTATGTAGTCGACTTATTTTTTAAACGATTTGAAGAGGATGCAAAATAAACAGATTCTCATGTGTCTGGTATGATGTTACTCAGACTCCTGGATCGACCACTTCTTTGTCTAGCCAAAGCCCTCTTCTTGAACGTGGCCACAGTAAGTCGCTTCCCTTCCTTCGTTTTGGGCACGGTTAGCTCTGACGGTCTGAGAATCTGAAAATGTTCTGTTTTTAAAGGGACCCCCACATCCATCAGCCCATCTACAAGGTGAGAAATACCAACCTGGACAGTTCTCTTTTTGTCTTACTTGCACATTTTGCTCTTCCATTTGTGTCATCTGCAGAATGCCAGACATCTTCCAATACCATCTGTTGACTGACTTATCAATCGCCTCACCCAGGCGTTAATCAAACCGGTTCTCTTTGTAAAGACTCGTCAAAAGCAAAAGTAGGATTCCCCCCCCCCCTTTTTTTTAAAACACACTTGAGTTGTTGCACTGCGTTGTTTTCTGTTGAGTAATTTAGCAGTCATATGATCTCACTGCTCTCGTTTCTTCATGGTGCTGGTTTTTTTCCTGGGTTAGACTTCGATGCGACACGTCCACTAAGTAAATTGGGAGGGGTATTAGCATTGATGACACGATTGCTTGCAAAATTTCCAATCCAAATCATATGCATTTCTATGAAGCGGTGTTCAAATACGTCGTTGAATGTGTTCCTGGCAACTTTATAAGACTTTTTTTGAACAACTACATTTGCAACAAATGTAAACAAGCGGCTTCAGACATTGCTATAAAACGGAACTAAGTGAGGTGACTTGGTCCATGTACGCAATTGAAGATTAAAATAATTTAAACATTGTGCTGTTCATCCTAAAATGTACAAGATATTTCTCGGGGTGCGCGCTGTGATCACCAGCTCAATCTAACTCTCTATATTGTTAAATGTACAAAGTATCCCCGTTACCTGGTCGGATGATTAAAAAAAAATAATAATAATTAATCGAATTAAGAAATCAGGACTATGTTTTTGTTTTTTTCTTGGTACAGTGACACTGAAACATTTCAACAGATTAGCCAAGTGAATAACGGCTTGTTTTGGATACACAGTGCAGAAGTGAATGGCAAATGTTTGAAACTTTTTTTTTTAATCTAACCTTGTATAAGTTAACAAACAACAGCAGGTTAAAGCAAGACAGTGTTTAGTACATGAACTAATTGGACTTTTTTTTTTTTTAAACATAACGGCAGCAGGCTCCAAATCCAAAGTGCAAGATGTCAAATTAAAGGGGGAAATGTCCAGTGTGCATTCCTTATAAGGAATAATGGGTTATAAAGGAATGAGAACACAAAACGTCAGTGGCAAAGTCAACAGAAATCTCGTCTCGTCCACTGTACTCGGGTACCAAAAGAACCACCGGTTTAAATTACTGCTACAATGAGCTATTCTGCCATTTATAGCTAAACAAATAAGGAAAAAAAAATAGAGCAACCCAGTGTACAATTTTCTTTCCTATATTTACAGCAACACAGGCAGCAAACTTGTTCAGTTTCAAATATATTAGGATAAGCAGAAAACGAAGTAACTATCCAGGCCTCAAACGTTGATTTGGGCTTGTGCTCGGAAGACTAAACGTCATGCTTCAGGTCAAGCAAAACGGAGATACCAAGTGACAACTAAGCTTGCTGGTGGAGGCGCTAGTAGCAGTACTCAGTCAAGTGGAACCCTTCGGTATGATGCAACACCTTAACCCGTAGCCACGGGTTCTCGGTCACTCTCCCCAACAACCTGAGCTGAAAACCAATCTCGCACTTGTTGGTAACTCATTTTGGACTTCTTGCATAATATGTCAAGGTCTTTTTCGTTGAGTGAGCCCGTTGAGAGGAAATAGTTTACTAATGGCTGCACATTTGGGGAACCTGCACTCATTCCGTTCACCGGAGATTTCCGTTTGCGGCTACCTCCGACCCGGGGAGATGTTCCCGAACCGTTCGGAAAAACGGCATTACCCTGCTGGGCGGCGAGCTCTGCCAAGAATTTGTCACGGACCCCTTTAACCCATCGCAGCTGGCCGTTTTTGACCGCGTAACGCGTGTCCCCAAACCATTGGATCACATCAGCGCGGGGTAACCCTGTAACCTTAACAAGTTCCGTGTAGTCTTCACTCTTGGGCCACTGGCAGCGGAGGAAGTGCTGCTTGAGTAAAGCCAACTGCTCCTTGGTCTTCCTCGGTCTGCCACCAGATGTCCGGGAAGTCGATGCCGTTGAGAGGTGTAGATTATTGCCCCTGGCTGAGTGGAGCGACTTCTTTGATGTGCTGATGTTGTTTGGGGGCTGTTTGTATGGCGACGCCGCAAGTGGCGGCGTTCCAGAGGGGGAGGAGCAGGGAGAGGATTTGAATGCGTCGGGCGGGTCCTGCGGGGGAGCCTGTTGGTCAAGCTTGCCGGGCTTGACCAACTGGAGCGGTTCTTCTTCGCTTTGCTCCCCGTCTTTGAGACTGTCCCCGTCACCAGACAGATCTTCCGTTGCTTCGTAGCCCTCTGCCTCAAGGTCCCGTTCCCCGAAAGCCTCGAGGCTGTGAGACAAGAAGGTCTGAAAGAAATGGGAATTCCTGATCAGGTTGCTCCGGGCTCCCTCTTGGCCCTTCCCCGCCGGATTAAAAAGACGACTCTTTTGAGTCGTGAGCGAAAGAGGTTCGCTTTGTTGTTCGTGTTTACCTCCTACAGCTGGAAGTAGTGTCGAAAAGCCCTGGGCTGCTGCCAGGCTTCCTCGTCCGACCCTAAGCTGGTAACGGCTGTCGCTGAACCATTTTCGGATGTCATTGCGGCTCAAACCGGTCTCTTCCTGCAAGCGCCTAAGCTCCACCTCTGCGGGCCAGTTCTCTCTCAAAAAGCTTTTGCGAAGTGCAGCAAGCTGGGCTTTTGACTTTTTATAGCGTCCGTGGCGGTGTTGTTGTGGCGAGGACCCCGAAAGGTCTAAGGAGACCTCAGCAGCAGCATCGGCGGCGGTAGGAGCCACCGCATTCGCACTTGATGGGATGTCACTTGGTGGGCGGTAGAAGTAGGAATCCTGAGGTGGCGGTAAGGTAGAACTGAAACACGGGGACGTGGATTTGGTTGGTTTGTAAGAATCCGGCGATTCACATTTTGGTTTCTTCTTCTTGGGAGTCACACTTGGGAAAACGGGCTCCGCTTCGGGATCTTTATCCTCAATGACTTTGGCTTCCTCGCTTGTTTCACTGGAGTCGTCAAAAGAATATGGCACCGATAGTTTCCGTCGCGTCTCCTCTATCTCCTCTGACGACCAACTGATCCCATATTTAATTCTCTGCACCATAAACCAAACCTTAACTTTGTCCAAGGGCAAAGAGCAAGCCCGGGCTAGGGTGTTGACCTCAAGTGACGATGGGTACGGAAACAAGTTAAAAGCTTGGACGAGCTCCGGAATGGAGTCAAGTTCGCGGGTCTGATCAGAATGCGTCCACACCAATTTGAGTTCTTCTGACACAAGGGGCAAGCACACCACAGAATTGTGATTGGTGGTGAAACTGGACGCAGAGCCTGGGTTGCTTTCGGGTGAACTGGGAGGAAGATGAAATTCTTTTGCAGCCTGTTCATCTTCTTGCTTTACTTTACAAAGAGTCTTCGTCATTCTGCTGTCCAGGAACTTGGCCGCATGTGGTCCCACTCTGCCATTTTGTTCGTCATAGGTCGCCATCTGGGCCTTATAAGTAGGGCGTTTCACCTGCAAGAAAAAGGGGCTTATTTTACACACGTTGGATAGTTTTGAACATGTCAGACCATCAGAGTTTATATGCTAATGTTTTAGAACTTTTGTTTTGGCCTCATTGTCGAAGTCAGTTATCGGACAGCTGTTTCCCCTCCCCCCTCTACTTTGAACTCCTTATTCTGAACTCCCACTGAAACGAGTCGTATACCCGGTCCAGACTGGGTTCCCCTCCCCCAAAGTGTGGTGGGTGACTTTTGTTTTGTGTGAGCAGGGGTGGGGGGTGAGTGGGGGGGGGGCACTGGTTGCAAAGGGTGGGAGCGTGGAGAACGGACATCCATGAGAAAACTCTTCACGGTTACGTTCTCACCCTTTTCTTGTTGGGCTTTGTTCCACTTCAAGTCTCCAAAGACAAGTAGAGCCCCTTCGCGAAGGCAAACAGCAGAGCAGAAGCTTGAGAACTTGTAAATGGAGAAGATGATCAGCATTAGTCAGGCTTTCATGATGTTTTACTCAAATTAAAAAGAACTCAACTCTCAAACACCTCAGAGCAGTTTGGGGTACTTTGTTAAATGTTAAGCAACAAGTATCCATTAAAAAAATCAACTGTACAATGTAACTTTTTGTGAAACTACTGTGGATAAACAGTATTAAGTACAAACACTGTACCATTTTTTTTTCATTGGATTTCATGAATGAGTGGGCAGTCCTAAGACCCACAGTGCAGTGCTGCGTGTTAAATTATTGGGAAACAAAATGACAAATTTTACTTCAAAGGGAACATTTTAAATAAGAAATGAGGAGACCGTGCGCATCTTGTTTTGCGACTACGTCATGGCCTCAGATTTAGGTCGCTTTAGCTACGCAAGAAATGTGTAACCAAACCACGAGCCAACTCTAACGCCACAACGTTCGTCATTCGTGACCTATCGGAACAAATAGGGGCGGTAATTTAAGTAACCGCCCATGTTTTTTTTATTTTTGGATTTTATCAAGACACATAAATCATTGAAATTTAACATGCTGGTTGAAATGAGGGGCTATACCGCTTAAAAAGTTGCCCGTGGTGCCACTAACAATGGTAGTCGTGTCTGTGCCCCTTTATGGCGTACCAAGTAAAAACGCTTGACTGAGCTGGCGCACTTCGCCGCCAGACACACTTCGATTGAAGGTGGAAAATAAACTTACCACAAAAAGAATCCCTCGTCCCGGGGTTCCGTGCGAGCGAAAAGACAACGAGAAGAAAAGCCCCAGTTTCCGTTTCGTGAGAGGCGGCTCTAAATGGGCGAAGTTTGGAAGAAGACTGTGGACACAATGCCCGTCCGTCTGGCGGCTTGACCCTTGGTTTATTTCACCGAGCACCTCGTCGGATTAACGGCCAAGGAAGGCAAGATGCGACGGCGACCAAGTTTGTCGCCCTTTCGTCAGACTTGGTCTCGCTCGCCCCCTCGCTTAGGCGTCTTTTATTCCCAACTGCGAGCTGGCGTTCGGTCGCGATCGCTGCTTGGTCCGCGGCCGCTTTTGTTCTGTTGAGAAGTGTTTCCACTGTCCGGCCAGATCGAGGCGAGGCGGAGCTGCGGACCAGGAAGCCCAACAAGGCCCAACTGACTGTCACGGCCTCGGCGGAGTGGGTGTGCCAGTCAGCCGGGGAAGGCTTCACATTGGTGGGAGAAAGCGTCTGTACAACAAATCCCGGCCAGTGGGCCAAACACTTTTTATTTTTTTTACGTCAACCACGTTGCGCGCCCCCATCAGATCTGGGCCACATACTATTTACGAGGAGATTTATTTGCCTACAAAATCATCTAATTTCTCTACCAACCAGCAGCACAGTCCTGTTTCCCTCTGACATAGGGTGTTTTTATCGGGCGTTTCTAAGCGGGGGGGGGGCATCTTTTTTGTACAAATTATATGAAATATCTAAATGTATTCACCATTATAATGATGGTGCTTATGCTGAAAATAATTTGAGTGCGTCCACCTCCGACATAAAAAAAAAAATGACGCATATAAGAATGGAGTGAGCACAAAGCTGAAAAAGCACTCTTTCCATAAAGCCTAAGATTCTATTTGAGGGGAAGCATCGAATGGGCTACAACTGAGTAACACAGTTTCTTCACCTGAGGGGAAATAAGGACGGACAGCTACCACATACAGTTCTCTGGTTGGGGGGGTTTAAATCCGGGCTCCGGCATTCCTGTGTGGAGAACCAGTGCTATGGATAGATGGAAATAAGGAGGCATCTATTTACAGTGGAAATCACTATTTGAGGAAACGCATCGTCATGTACTGTATGTCTCTTGCAAATCACCCCCCCCCAAAAAAAAGTTTATTGTTCTTGTGATGATTAGTTAAAATAGGACGGTGTACAGGACTAGTTAAGTATGTCAAAATTGGAGTTTAAAAATTAAAGGGTTATTGTAAAGAATCTCAAGGCTCATCGCTCCCAGAAACATAAACATGGATGCACACAACACTGTGGCGTGAGCATAGAGACCATCAGATCTCTCGTTTATGAAAACAAACTCTTTCCAAGTAGCACAAAAAAGTCTTTATTTCTCACTTAGTCATCTACAACATCTGGATCAATATGATTACACGCGTACTTGATCGGGTGCTGCTGGTTTGGTGAGCAATGGTAGCAGTTGACTGGATCTCCGTTCGAAGTTAAGCAACCTTTTCTTGTCCTCAGATCAAATAAATTGGTGGTGGGGGCCACAACCTCAGGACAGGCATTGCATCAAATGAGTTTCGTTACAGTAACTCAAGACCAAATGTTTAATTCATCAAAAAGATGTATCCTCTGTCACAGAGTGGTGACCTCATATCCCTTCCTTTTCCCATAATCCATCCATCCGTTTGCTTATCTGAACAATAGGGGGCATCAACCTTGGACCGGTCGCCAGTCAATCCAAGGGCGCAAATACACTAAAAAACATTCACACTCACACCCTCGGACAATTTAAAGTCAATTCACCTAACACGCATATTTTCGGAATGGTGAAGGAAGCCGCAGGGAAACCTATGCAAGCACAGTGAGAACGTGCAAAGCCGAGATTTGAGTTTTTAATTGACCGAAAGTGTTTTGGGGGATGTGGAACAGTCGGAGTCAATGTTACTTCCCTTGTTTTGAATAAGACAAACAGCAGTGTTTTAGCCCAGTTCTTTATTTATCGAGATAGATCGGTAACATACCGGCAGCACCGTATCGCAGTACCACTTCTATGCATACAAAAATATAGGTATAATGCTTCAACATTTTAATCCAAAATACTAGGTGATACGTTTTGGCTGCATCTACATCAAATAGAGACAAACCAGCTTCATATTGATACCAAATACAATTTCACATTCTCAAGCTTAAACAGTAATATAGTTATGATAATAAGCAATCGTGAAACCTCTGAATTTGACTTGCTGAGGAAAAATACGGCTGGAAAATTTCTGAAAAACGCTCACTCAATTTTGTCTCTTTTCTTTGTTGTTGTGCTACCACAGAAGTTTAATGCTGATGTCAAAGAGGAGAAATACAAGACGAGCATTCTGGTAAGTTGGCGGTTTTCTCTGTCCAGTACAATATGGCTCAACTCATCTTTTTGATTGCAAAGCGAGCATTTCGTTTTCCTGCGGTCTTTACACATTTATCATTTGCGTTTTTCTTGTGCCAAAGTTATGATTGGGTACATGTTTTAGTGTATTCACATATAACATGAACAGTTGTTTACTATTGCACTTGAAATATATATATTTTTTTATTCATTACCATTAGTCTATTTCATTGCGTTTCTCTTGGCTGCACTGCCACCGGTGTGTCGACGTTAGGTTTTTGTGGTCCAATCAGATTTCCGCATCTTTGTGCTACATTGTCAAGCTCATCCGCCCAGGGAATTTTGAATCACTCGTGCTGGCCAATATCATTTAAACCAGATTAGCAATGGGATCTTTAACCAGTTCGATTTCAAATTCGACTAAGGATGCAAGTGGTGCGGTTGCATGCTGTCGAGTTTTTGTATCGAATTTATGTGCTCTATTTTATAATTGTGACTTTGTAGTGGTGTCTTTGTGCTACATTGTCAAGGTCATCTGCCCAGGGACTTTTGAATCACTTGTGTTGGCCAACATCATTTAAACCAGATTAGCAATGGGATCTTTAACCAGTTCGATTTCAAATTCGACTGAGGATGCAAGTGGTGCGGTTGCATGCTGTCATGTTGCGTTTTTGTATAGTATTGATGTGCTCTATTTTATAATTGTGACTTTGTAGTGGTGGTGGTGGTAATAGGAAGTGGATTAAGTCGGTTAAGACGCCTCTGAGGGCCCAGGTACCAAATGTACAGCCTAACACTGCATTTAACAACTATTTGACCCTAGAACAGGAGGATGCAAGTGGTGCGGTTGCATGCTGTCATGTTGCGTTTTTGTATAGTATTGATGTGCTCTATTTTATAATTGTGACTTTGTAGTGGTGGTGGTGGTAATAGGAAGTGGATTAAGTCGGTTAAGCCGCCACTAAGGGCCCAGGTACCAAATGTACAGCCTAACACTGCATTTAACAACTATTTGACCCTAGAACAGATGGAATCCATTCCCACAGCTACCTCTGGGAAGAGTTGTTTCAACATAGCAAAAAAAAATAAAAATAAAAATACAAATTGGGGAATTGACCAGCGTGTTAAGCCGCCACTAAGGGCCCAGGTACCAAATGTACAGCCCAACACTGCATTTAACAACTATTTGACCCTAGAACAGATGGAATCCATTCCCATAGTTAACTCTGGGAAGAGTTGTTTTAACATAGCAAAAAAAAAATAAAAATACAAATTGGGGAATTGACCAGCGTTCACGACACGGATCGAATTCAAATAAAGAGGTTTCACTGTAGTAGGCATTCAAAATTCCCGGAGTCTTTCATTTCAATAAACACTTGTCGTGATTGGATTCAAAAATAGTCACAAATAGGTTTTCAACGCCTCGCTAGCTTATGGTTAGAAATGGTTGCTTGTCAAGGGGAGCAGAAAGCGGGGCAGTCTTATAAAAGACGGGACAAAAGATGAGAGCCAGGAGACATACGGAACTTGTGTCAGCAGGAACTTAAGGGAGGTAAAGTCGTCCACACACCGCCCTGGAAAAGCAAACAAACATAAATAAACAAACACCGTCGACTCACTTTTTCAGTTTTGTTCTTCTCCAAAAGTGAGTCACCGTCGACATCTCGGATCCCGTAACGCCTCGCCAGGTCACAGGTCATGAGAATTTTCCCGCTCAGTGACATCAGGTTTTTATCTTTAAAGCAGTGAAAGGAATTCGTTAGTTGAAGCTGAAGAAGCATTTCTCATTCAAGCTTAGAGCAGAATTCGAGTCAAATATTATATTTGCAACAAGATGATCCGGGTGCCCCCATTACCTTCAAGACAGTATTTCTGAGATTGCATTTTTGGAATAAGGACAAAGCATCATAATCCCCTGGGTTTTTATTGCCATCCAAGGTGGCACCACCCCCTACTGGTGATTGAAAATTAACATCAAAGTGCCCACGGGCTTAATTTCCTAATGTCACGGTTCAACCTGTTTTCTGGGTTTGGCCACGCGATGCTTACAAGGCAAGCCCGTGGCTACTCTGACATCAGTTTCAATAGACAGGAGTGGGCGGTGCTACATGACATCACTCTCCTATTTGAAAACAGGTGGATTATTCATCACTTATTCCACAAACACAGTGTTAATATGAAAACTGTGTTCAGACTAGTGGGTCGAAAGGGAAGATATTATTGCAATGAACTTTTTTTTTTCTCCCCTTCTGCGTTGAAGTAAAGAGTTAAAACATGTCAGCCGATCGAGAATAGGCCTACCTTGAGCAAGGTTGACAATGCACAGCCCACTAAATTCAGTGCTTTCTCCATGAGCAAACAATTCCTTCGTCTGAGGGTGAAACAACGCAGACATTCAGCGAAAATGACAACACTCTACACGTGCGGTTAGCCGCCGGAGAGAAGCCTACCTTGGAATCTACTTCCCGCGGCGCATCATCTGAAAGCACAAACTGAGTTATTTGCTCGGTCTTGACCGGTCCAGGCCAGAGACTGACAGATGCCACCCCTCTGCTCCGAAGCTCCAAAGCCATGTCCACGGCCATGCGGTCGCACTGTCAAGAAATGGTTGGGTTACTCCATCCATAAAACCGGGGACCTTAGGAAGCGCCAACTTACCGCCGCTTTCCCAACACCGTATGGCACATTGAAGAGATATCGCAGGCCTCCCATGGATGAAATGGTGACGATCAAGCCCTGACCCCGAGCCACCATCAAACGGGATGCGTACACTGAAGCGATATAGTGGCTTCTACCAGATGGAGGAAATAAAACAAAGAAGGCTCAATGAATCACTTTTGCTGAAAACATTCAGCATCAACGAGGTAATTTGCAGCTCCTTCACCGCAACAAACCGACAGAGTCTGCATCACTGCACCGATAGGAATTAAGCAACAAAATCCACCTGTATTCATCCACTTCAGGGGGAGCATTTTGCCACGATGTACTGAAAATGACATTGCAGTGCTTCAGGAAATGACCAATCTCATGTTTTTACGAATGAAGGGTCGCCGTTGTCGGGTGTCACCCGTATTCATCCTCTTCAGGGGGTGGCCATTTTGCCACGATGTACTGAAAATGACATTGCAGGAAATGACCAATCTTATGTTTTTACGAATGAAGGGTCGCCGTTGTCGGGTGGCGTCAGACTGAAGCAACTCCGTGAGGTCGGGGTAGATTTTGTGACTTGGAACTCCCAGTTTTAGTGGGATTCGAGTGCACTTTTCCGGATCTGCGATTGGAAAACTCAGTTGAGGTCGGGGTAGATTTTGTGACTTGGAACCCCAGCTTGAGTGGGATTCAAGTGCACTTTTCCGGATCTGCGATTGGAAAACTCAGACTTCCCACTTTCCTGGAATGCAGCCTGAGGCACTGTGATGTCATTTTCCATCGACAGCAAGCGGCAAAATGGCCACCCGAGTAGATGGATAAAAACAAGGGGATTTTTGCTGCTTCATTCATATTCCACCACCGCAGTCTCAATTACAATACTGTATTTAGATTACTTGTCACGACAACTTTAGACTTCCCTTTCATGATTTTTAACTGTTTATCATCCTCCATGATCTAGGAAACAGAGTGCTAATTAACAAACAGGTGGTCAAACGAAAACAAATTCAGCACTTTTTTGGAAACAAAATGCTTTGACTGCATTTTAGTTTTCTAGTTGGTCATGACAGCGCTGAAGAAAAAAAAAAAACACGCATCTAATGATGGCCAAAGGCGTCTGTAAAGTCGTGACATGCAACTCAGGCCTACTACCTCAGGCCCGTGTTGTTGATGGTGTCCCAAAAAGACGGGTCGGTCTCCCAGAACTTTTTCCCGTGGTTCTCAAAGATGGCCTGCAATGACACGACATATTTGTCACACAAGTAAATAACAGGATGGATTTTAGTCGACAGTTTGGAGCCTAAACTAAAGTGTTCCAATTTTTTTTTTTTTAAAGTCTCAAGATCACCGGATCTTGAGACTAATCAATCCATTATCATGTGTGACATTACGAGAGACTTTCACAAACCTCGTGACACTTTGGTTTCGTAAGCGTCGAAAGATTGAACTCCTGTGTGTTTTGTAATTTTTGTCATGCTCGTACATAAGGGGAACATCGACACCCAAGAGGAAAGGTGCAATCATACCAAAAACAGTAAAACATTTCCTGTATTGTTAATGAACGTTATGATGACATGGATAGATCATCGCACTTGACATTATTATGAGAATTGAGCCATTGTTTTGAAGAGTTCGATACATGGAAGTCACCTGGCATTCCAAAACAGATTGCATTGCAATATGTGAAATAGTACTGAAATGCCACCAACCTGGACTCCAGCGTATGCATTGTTGACCAGAAGGTCCAGTCGGCCACTCTCTTCCGTTTTTATGCGTTCAAACAGTTTCTCAATGTCGCCATCATTGGTCGAGTCACAGATGACGGGCACACACTTTCCACCCCGCTCGCTCACCTGAGTGGAGAGCAAAGCGAGCATGTGGACTGCAGTAACTAGAGCAAGCGGTTTTCCCAGAAAGCCGTTTGGAGCATTATTTTGAACAAGACGACAAGTGACTCATTTTGAAACGTATCATTCATAATTAGCATCTCAAATGAAAAATGCAGCATCCGACGCCCAACGTGTCAATGTTCCATCATTGAACTCAACCAATTATCGGCCGTCTGTCGGGGGTGGGGCTACAGTTGCGTGCATCACGAGCAGGTGCAAATAAATGAATGTCGGGGAACGTTGCCAGGTCTTTCGCTACTTGCGCAGTAACCAAGAAAGCGTCATAGTTACGATAAACCACAAAGACCTTCCGTAAAAGAAAGAGGAAGTAAACAAAAGTACCACAGCTGGCATGATAGCAACTTCTTGGTGACCTGCCTAAGTAATCATTGCCCCATCCAGCTCAACATTTCACCTGTGCTGCTGTTTCTTTAAGAGTCTTTTCCTGGCGTCCGGTGATGTAGACGGTGGCGCCTGCCTCAGAAAGCTGCAGCGCTATTCCTTTTCCAATGCCTCTGGAGGCACCCGTGACCACACAGATCCAGCCGGACAGGGACATGTTCTCTGCCGACGTGGGGGGGGGGACAGATGGATAACAGTCAATCAACAAGTGTCATAAATAATGCCAATTGAAAAAGAGCATCAAAGAAAAGTCTCTTCCACAAAGCCTTTAAAACACACACACACACACACACAAGAGGGGAATGACAACACATTTTATATGTGCGTCCACATTTTTAACGGACCAAAAGTAATTGGACAAAGGAACACAACAATCAGTCAGATTGTAATTTTTCAATACTATGTTGTAAATCTTTTGCATTCAGGGACAACCTGAAGTCTCGAACCCATGAACACCACCGGCCGCTTGGTTTCGTCTCTGCTGCAGCTGTCTTCAGTTCCTTCTGTCATCCAGCACACTTGTCTTCCGTGGTCTTGCAGGTCCTTTGGTGTTGCTGAGCTCACCCGTTTCTTATCTCTTATTAAGGCCATGACAAAGAGTTGAATTGGCCACACCTTAGGTTTTTGCCATCTTACTGCGATGGATTTATTTAGATTTTCAGCCGAAAGCTGGCTTGCTTCACTGATCATGATTGCTCTTTATACTTTGTATTGAGAGATGACCCCAGCAGGCTCCAAATGAACTCCAGGCCTTGTCTCTATTCCTTGAAAGTGAAATGAGGAAATGACACATACCTGGCTAGGGAACAGCTAAGTAGCCAATTGTCCATTGACAATTGATCCAAATTTGGATGTAAATACCCTCGAATTGAAGCTCAGAGTCTGCACTTAAAGCACACCTTCATTGTTTCATTTCAAATCCATTGTGGCTATGGAATGTTGAAAATTGAGTGATTATGCATGTCCAAATCCTTATGTAGCCGACTGTACAAAAAGCAGTCTGTTTCCCCAAAAATTCAGGCTTTCCTCGTGCCGTTTTCAGCTCGGATTTCAATGTGGGTCCTTGGGCAGCTGATGATGAACAGGGACTGAATTCAACGTGGGGAGAGGCACGACCCCACTGAAAGGAAGAACGTCCCCCGTGACTCACTTCTTTTGGCCAGAATCTGTAAGTCGTTACGGGGCTCGTTTGGGCGTTTAACGGACCGTTTTTCAGCATGGACATGGGAACGCCGATGCACTCACGATGGGTACATAGTACAGGAAGGGCAAGGGTGATCAGCAAGGCTCTAAAACAGGTCAGAGTTGCAGTTGGACTATAAAGACTTTTAAAGTTTTTATAAAAAAAAATAACCATTTGTTACGACACATTACCACAAAGTAAGGAAAAAAAGACTCAGTGTTCATTGTTTAAGCAGAGATATGAAAAATCGAAATGTTATGCAAATGCCGTATAAATCAATAAAAGAGATTGAGTTGCCATTTAGAGTTATCAGAAATGTTATTTAACTTACTGTGCTAGAAAATCAATAACTATTTGAAAACGAATAACGACAGCAAGAGACAAAAGCAACTTACAGCGAGTGGCGTCGGATACTTCTTCCCACTGCGAAGTCTTCGCAATTATCTGGTTAACCATCTACAAGGCGTTTGCTGCTGATATGAACGCAACGCCTCCTTTACTCCTCATTTCTTCTTTTCGCGACTTTTTCCGTAGCTGCTCTAGATGATGTTGCTTTACTGCCCTCCTATGGTGGATCTTCCATTTTACAATACATCGACAGTACAGTGGTACGCTGTACTGTAGTTGTTTTTTTTTTTTTTTTGGTATTTTGAAATCTTTTACCGATAAACATACTCGATTCTATAAGTATACACCGTGGCTAAGTATTTTAAATGCGTGGGTTTGCTCATTTACAGTGCATGCCAATGAACAGTCTACAACTGTTGTGTTGTTTATTGGTTGTTATAAGAATTGAACTAATTTAGAGGGAGCAAATGTCCTTAGACTCTGTAGATACTTTTATAATAAATTAAATAAATTTAAAAAAACTCTTTGGCCAAAGGAGAAGTTTTCATTCAACTCTCTCACTTAAGTAACATTTAAAAAGTGGAAACCCTGAACCCAGATTTGGCATGATAATACTGTGTGCAAAGTTGCAGTTTCATATACTGTACATTTTGGGTGTATTACAAATCATCACTGTGTCATTATATGTATATCACTCTCAATATTATATTTCCCACTTGGGACTCCTGGCTAGTAACGTTTAATGAGTTGTCGTTTGGTGCACAACATTTATGTTCTCAAATGTTAATGTTGCCCCGTGGCAAGCATTCCAGTTTCTCACGTGGCCCCTTTGCAAAATTAATTACCACCCCTGCCTTATACAGAATTCTGGCAAGAATGTGGGGCTCCGCTGGAGTTGTACAAACATGTTTAGAATTTCCTCCGCCCAAAAATGATTGAAAAAAAAATATTTGGGAAAATAAATTGAATCGCCTCTCAGAATGTGTGCACACATCCCGCAGCTTGCCCACCCCTGAGCTAGACTGTGCACACTGTTAAATTTGTGTGAGTATTTCCTATAGTCAACTGTGGGTTGCGATGGCAAAACTCATTGTTGGGAAATATAAACTCATACATTTGACATTTTTAAAAAAGATTCTTTGAAAAACAAATATCACAAACTAAAGCTTAACTAAGAAAAAGTCTTGAAGGCATTTGGAACCTATGCATCACATTTTTATAGCAGGCTCAAACATAAAACACAAAACTCACTGGTACAATGAAGTATATTGTTTATTTGTGCAACTTTTCAAAAAATGTCAACCCCATATCCGGTACATAAATCAGGGTAGTCAAAACATAACATTATCACGCAGCGATTATACCGAGAGCTCCAATCATCCAGTATGAAGTACAATATTTAACAAAATGCTCATTAGTTTGGAAAAAAAAGGGCGGGGGTATAATAAATACATTTTTTTTAGTGTGTGTGTGTGTGTGAAGTTTCCCTGAAGAATTGGTTTACGAAAGACTTTTTAAAAGTTGGTCACAATGCTCAGGAGTCTATTCAAGATAACGGTTACACCTCACACCAACATGTATTTCTCTTTCCGGTGAAGTGGCCATGATACCAATGCACATTCATTTTTGCTTATTGTCCTTGTATGCGTTTCAAGATGCAATCATGACTCAGTCTCTGCCCGCAGTAGCCGCTACACAGTTGTAAAAGTGGGCAACAAATGTGGCATCCCTCTCTTCCAGTACGTGTAAGAAATGATTGCGCTCTTCTTCTCCCCAAGACTCAAACCACTGTGTCCACAGGCGTAGCTGGCATTCAAATATGTTTGGTAGTCTGTCCTTGACCTTGACAAAAGTGCAAAAAGGAGAAGAAGTTAAGGAATAGTTGTGGGTCATTCAGGAAGCGGAGGACATTTTCTGTATCCTCCATTAAATTACAAATAATCCAGCCAACAAACATAAAAACATGCACTTATTGTGTAAATTAGAGTCATCCTGAGATGAAGCGTAGCTCTAACTGTAATATTTACGACTCCAACATTTTTCCTCTCAGAATTGAGCGATTCCATATTTTTTCCTTTTCTTGCACTTCATACATAAAAAGTAAAAAATAGTGACTGATGGTTGAGTTGGATGAATCTATATGTTGGTTAAAATACATTTTTAAAAATTCTCAATTTTCCCAACAATTTACACACTGCCAAAAATCGTCCTCCAATTCTTAAATGACGCATTTGAACAGTAAAGACGACTGGGTGTACATCGCGTGGCAGTGCCGTTACCTGAAGAGTACTGAGAGAGTCGAGAAGGGTGCAAACCTTCCCGGGCACGGCTTTGGCCACCAGGTCCTGCAAAAATCTCTCCCGCTGAGAGGGAGTCCAGCCCTGGAACCAGCTTAGGACGCACCTTTGCTCCTGGAGGCTCACATAAGAGATGGGAACCGGCTCTCCGATCTGGCCTCCGCTCGGAGACCCGCATGTCAGATTCTCAAGGGTGGGAGGCCCGGCGACACATTCGGGTGTCGAGGGAAAGCCCTCTGGCCCGCGAGACGAGAAGCCGGGACAGTCTTGTGTTGCCACGGTGGGTGACGCCGCAGCCGTCGGAGCCCCCCTGAGCCGGGAGCGGGAAGAAGCACAGAAGCCCTCTGTGGCCGACATTGTACGACTGTCGGTGGAAAATTGCAGCTGGTGGTCCGAGTTTTGACTGACGCAATTGAACCATGACATCTTTGGACAGGCTGTTTGGGTTCAACATGAGAAGAGCAAGAAGCGACTTATCTACTTAAAATTAATCGGCAGTGCCAACCGACTGGGGAAGTCTTTGGGTTTGTATAACATAAGTTGTACGTTTAACAGGCAACCATGAATAGGAAGTACCTTTTTGCCTGAACGCATCTATATTACCCACCTTAGATAGACTAATTGTCATATTTAAAGAGAAGCCGTCTGTGGGATTCTTCGGCCGTTCTTCTTCACTGTGTTTAACGGAGTTTTTCAAACTGTAATGGTGCGTTACCGCCACCCATTGATCTCCAATGATTACTGCTTTCTCTTGCTATCGAAACTGGTCATTTGAAAATAAACAAATGAACAAAAGAGTTTGGATTTGCAAAGGATTTTTGAAATCCCAAATCAAAATAATTATGTTTATCCTTCTTATATTAGGTGTCTCCTGTATTAAATATAATTAATTATATATATTATATAATTATATTTCTCTTTTAACTAGTTCATCTCTCTCACATGTTATACTTAATAATAACCTATGCTCTTTCTCTCTCGCACTCGCCATCATCCATCCATCCATGATATGATCCAGGCCCAGCAGTGACTTTGAAAGATATGATTTGTGGTAAAGAAAAAGGATGGACTGAATTGCACAAATTTGGGGGTAAATATTCACGGATAAATTTTGCAAATTGTAATTAATAGTACTGTGAAGTGTTTATGTAATTGAGAGGAAATTCAAACTAACGTGGAAGTTGCAAACCGACATTGACCTTCGAAAGTATCAAAACTGCGAAGAAATTACGCACACACGGTCGTTGGCTTCATGTACTATTATATTATAAACCGAAATTTAAAAAAAAAACAGAAATGTGGATTTAAAATGTGTAATGAGGGAAATCAAAAGGGACAAATGTACTTTTTATATCGAATGGAGGAAGTTGTCGGCGTTGACGTCGTCTGTCGGAGGGCGTTGCTCGACGCTCTCGCTGGAATCGGTCCAGAGGAACGGAAAATGGCGGACCTCGAAGACGTAACCCTGGACGGGAGACCGCTCCAGTCTCTTCGTGTTGCAGATTTAAAAGCTGCTCTTGAGGAAAGGGGACTGTCTAAAAGCGGACAAAAGAATGCTCTTGTCAAAAGACTCAAAGGGGTGAGTTACACTGCGAGTTTTGCGGCCACCATTGCTGCGAGTTCAGGATAACGATGAGACGGGCTGATGCTTTCTCGAGGCCCGACATCCGAGTATCGTTACTGTTGAACAGCGTAGTAGCTGGAGTTTGACGTTTAATCATTTCCACTAGATTGCGTTTTGCCTCTATTTTGTCTGTGCTGTTTCTTAGGAGTGCGTTCCGTGTCGGTGAGCGTACTGGTCATTGGAAGAAATAGTTAAGTCAACTTGAGTGCACATCTCGAAATGTGTGTTGAGGGTGATGTTTCCCTGTTAGCTCATTAGCTATTTTGGCTAACGTCGTGAGTTTAGCAGTGGCCTCTGGATTTCTGCTGTTTACAGTGTCTGTCTGAAGCATCGGAGAGCCAGGCTAATAGTTTGCAGCTATGCTATGCTAATTTCCCAACTTAACACGTAAATAAAGACTATTAAGTTATGATCGAAGTCGTCGTTTTGAATTGTTACTTGTCGCTATGTACTGACGACTTAAGGTCTGTGAATTTTAAAAATCTGTTTGAGGCGTTTGAGCTGCCGTAGGTCTTTGACGAGCTGGTTTGTTTACTTTTCTCCTGGTCATCAACCACCCAAATCTTATCGTTCACATGATTTTCTTTTTCATAAGACGGGTTGGCAATTCATCTGACATCAGAAATGCGCCTACAAATGAACAAATGGCGGTTCCTTCTGCTTTTACGTTTCTCTGCACTGTTGGCTCTTTTTTCATGTTGGAAATACATTGTGGGAGTTGAACAATGCAAGAACATTAGTTGTCTCATAGACAATAAAACCCACATAATTTACATCAATTCTTTGATTTTCATTCAAGAATCTCTTAGTGGTGCCAGATGTTGATTTCCTGTGGCAAATACCGCCTTTGTTTTGGCTTAGTTTTAGTCAGGGCTCTCCACAGCGAGTTAGTCGCATGATATGTTTGGCACAGTTTGTATGCCTAATGCCCTTCCGATACAACACACCCAGGAAGGTGGATAGGAAACGCTGAATAGCGTTAAAGGGTCTTGCTGAGGACCCAACTGAATGCCACCGTTCACCCTGACACACTGATATTTAAAACCATTAAACATTTCTCTGATATGTACGAACATGGTTTGCACTTCTTGGAAGTGTCTATGGGTGAACATCAGATTGTTTTATAGTGAGGATAGGCCGGTCACGATAGTTACTCTGACTTATCATTTGACAAATGAAATGGACATGATCAGGGCTGTTACGAACAAATCTTTTTTACTTATTCAGGAAATCCCCTCCAACTGTAAGTAATGATTTAATGAGTTAAAACAAAATCCTGCCTTCACTATCATAGAATGCGCTAGCCAGCCTGGTTGTAATCATGTATACCTTCCTGTGTTCTCGCCTCCAAGTGACCTCAGATCTAGCTTACTGCAATGACATGAAACTTTAGTCCTTTTTTTAGTTTGAAGTGACCACAAATATTTAGCATCTTCCAGTAATATTCCAAGCAAGCCCTCACTGACTGAAGGACTGAGCCGCTCAACATGGTTCCGAGCATGGCAAATATGTGTTTAAAATTATTAGTTTGTTTTGCGTCGACTATTTTTTGTCGTCAAGTTATTTGTTTTATTCTTTTTCCCCAGCCTTAGATACCATCGTTGTTTCCAGACTTGATCTCCCGCAATTTACATGTTTGTTTACATATGTCATCAAAACTTAGTAAATGGACGGCACATGGAGTGCCGTCCATTTACAAACCGCTTCTAATTCTAACTCTTCACAGATAGTGTTAGGCTTGGTAAAACTCTGGTTTGTCTTTTTTGCTCGTTACTGTGCAATGCATCTCAGAGTACCCAACCAATATGTATCTCTTTTCAATAACAGGCTCTCATGCTGGAGAATCTGCAGAAGACCTCCACTGCTCATGTTGGACTGCAACCAAACTCTCAGGCGAGTGTTACAAGAATTGACAGTGTCGTTCCACAACAGAGTATCAACATATTCACATGCAAAATTATGTGAGATCACAGAAATACACTCATCTAGCCTACTAGTTTTTCCACGTTTTTTCTCAACATAACAAAAAGATAGAGCGCTGTATAGGGAGAGAAAGCCTTGCCACTCTGTCTTTGGCTGCAGGAGAGCTGTGCGCTGGGGACAAGATGCGTGTGCGTGTCATACTGACTGCATCGCTACCAAAAAAAAAAAAAGTACCATTGTCCCATATAAAACTAAGCTACTACTGTTGTATTTGACAAGATATTTGATTATTTTGTAGCTTTGTGACATTTCAATGTTCTGAAAATAATGTGAGCAATCTTTTTCACCCGATACCGGATCACCTGAAAATCATGTGGTCGACGTCGATTTCCCTCCGTCCCTTTCCAGTCTCCAAGGATAACCACTCAAACCAAAAATGACCAAACTTATACGTCGGTGGGAAGAGTTGCATTGAGTGCAAGTCGTCACATCATGCAGTTTTAACAACCGCTGTGTGACAAAGTGTTATTTTGTTTTTTCACCCCTCACTCCCCCCTTTAACAAGTGTATTTTTGTCATTGTCTTGATAAGTATATGATGAGATTCCAAATGATTTTCAGCCTGTTGTCATTAACCTTTCGACATTTAGATTGGTGAGGAAATGAGCCAGAATAGCTTCATCAAACAGTATCTGGCTAAACAACAGGAGCTCTTGCGGCAACGTCTGGAGAGAGAGGCCCGGGAAGCCAATGACACTAACGGTAGGTGAAATTGCAATTTCTCAGGGCAGATATGTTAATGATGATGCCAGTTTTAATTTATTTACCTTTTGTAAACAGAGCAAGAGGAACACAAAGATGTTAATAACAGTGTTGCGTGTCCTCCGCAAGACCAGGTCAGACATTTTTTCCCACCATGTTGTTGTCAATTGAATCTGTTTCAAAACATGTGGTAATTGTTCTCTAAAATGTGATTAAAAAATGAAAAAGAAAAAGACTGCCAGTGGAAATCAAGCTTAAAGATTGTAATGATGTCACTGCACAACATTTTTTTCTCATTAGGATGTGACCCAAGCCTCGGCTGAGCAGTACAAAACACCCGGCCCCTCTGACGGAGAGATCCGGTTTGCTGCCGTAAACGAGGGAGAAGCTAATAGCAAACAGGAAGCTCACAAGTCCACTCCTCCTGCTTCTGGGTCAATTACGATGCACATTCCTGGCAATGAGCACCAACCGGAGAAGAGTTCTGCGGCCAGTGACTTCCCAGCTGAAAGTGACGATGATGATAGTGAGGACGGCGAGGAGGATGGTGACAATGATGATGACTGGGGCAGTAACATTCGCAGACGAACTCCGAGACAACCAGCCAGAGGGCCCTCCACTCGGGAGAGGTGTGGAGCATCTCGTCAACCCCAGCAGCCGCAGCACATGCCTTCCCTTTTATCTCCTCAACTCCGCCAGCCAACCCCTCCTCCATCGCCACCTCCAGAGTTATCTTTCTCCTTGCCCGACACCCCGAAACAGAGCCCCCCTAGTCCAGATGTACCCCCAGCAAGGCACTCACCCAGTACCTCCAGCTCTGGTTCTTCGAGCAGCGATAGCCCCAGTAGCAGCCCAGAGCCGCAGAGGAGTGGACATGTGGATCGTAAACCTGGCCCATTAACTCTTTTGGCCCGTAAAATGGAATCGGAAGGCGCTTTCTCTGGAACCAGTTGGCCTGATGGTCATGGGGAAGGAGGTCAGAAAGAGAGCAATTTGCCAATGGCCACCTCATTTTGTGGCACAGAACATGTTGAGGACCTCTCTTCGGCTACCGCTGCAGGCCATGTGCCAATTTCCATGATAACGGCCATCAATCAGGGTGTCATCGGAACACATTCGGCCCATAGTCATATTCCTGTGAGTGTGCTTAAGACTTCCACAACGGAAGAGAGGGCAGAAAAGGCCCTTGAGCTACAAAGACAAGAAAGGCTTAGAAGTCTTGAGCAAGAACGAGCATTGGAGGACGAGCGCAAAAACGCTCTTGAGCAGGAACGAAAGGAAATCGAGAGATTTGAGCATCAGCAAGCCTTAGAAAGAAAAGAACAAGAAGCTTTGCGGTTGGAAAAGAAACTAGCAGCAGAAAGAGAGAGGCTGGAGAGGGAACAAGCTTTGGCTCAGCAGCAGGAAGAGCGAGAGCAAACCATGGCAAGAGAGCGAGCGCTAGAGCTAGAGCGGCAAAGGGAACTTGAAAAGCAAAGGGCCTTAGAGCAAGAACGTCTCCAGCGGGAAACAGAGGCGAGGGAAAAGCGAGAGAGGCAAGCGGAGTTAGAAAGAATACAGGCTTTGGAACGGGAACGAGAGGAAAGAGAAAAGGCTCTTGAGAAAGAAAAGTTAGAAAGAGAAAAGGCTTTGGAGGCAGAGAGAAAAGAAAAAGAACGGATTGAGAGAGAAAGGATATTGGAACAGGAACGTTTGGAAAGGAAAAAAATAGAGCAAGAGAGGCTGGAGAAGGAAAAGGCTTTAGAGAAAGAGAGAAAGGAGAGGGAGGAAGCCTTGAAAGAGCAGAAAGAACGAGAGAGAGCTTTAGAGCTTGAGCGACTAGAAAAAGAAAAAGCCTTGGAGCTTGAGCGTACAGAAAAACAGAGAGCCTTAGAGCAAGAACGTCTAGAGAAAGAATGTCTAGCGAAAGCACATCTATTGCAAGAACGTCTTGAAAAAAGGCGTCTTGAGAGAGTACAATTAAAGCAGGCGTGCCTGGAGCAGGAGCGCCTGGAGCAGGAGCGCCTAGAGCAGGAGCGCCTGGAGCAGGAGCGTCTGGAGCAGGGGCGCCTGGAGCAGGAGCGCCTGGAGCAGGAGCGCCTGGAGCAGGAGCGCCTGGAGCAGCAGCGTCTGGAGCAGGAGCGCCTGGAGCAAGCGCGCCTAGAGAGAGCACGTGTAGAACAAGAGCTCCTCGAGAAAGAGCATCTAGAGAGAACCCGTGTAGAGCAAGAGCGCATAGCGCAAAAATTGGAGAGTGATAGACTAAAGGAGCAAGGAAGATTAAATCTTGATAGGAAGGACGAGAGACAAGCTTCAAATGCAACTCTTGAAAATAGGATTGAGGACAAAATAGTCAAGGAAAGTCCTAGTGAACAGGGCATTTTAGAGAAGAAACCTGCCAAGGAGTTAGACAATGAATTCCCTCCAGCCATATGTGGTAGTGAGCCTGGTTTTGCCCTTTCCACTGCTCCCCTTTTCACAGGACCAGCTAAAGAAACAGAGGCAGTAGTCCAGGAAGATGCCAAAGCTCCAATGACACCGAGTGAATCCCATGCAGCAGAATCAAGGTCAACACTGTCATCTCCGCAGTCATCATTGAAGAAATTCCCGTTTGCAAGAGACTCCCTGATTCAGGCCTGCTCTACTAACGCCATGGTCATCAAGCGGCATCGTACCTTCTCCGATACACCCCCGCCGTCTCAGGTGTCACTTTCCTCCACCCCGACCAGTTTTGGAGAACGGCAAGAAAGTGAAACCTCTGCAGAACAGGAACAGGAAGTTAGTAGTAAAGCACTGGGTCAGGTGGGCAGCCAGTCTGAGGAAGAGTCTGCTTTGCACCAAAAAACAAGTTCCAAAGAAGGTTTTACGAATCAAGTATTAGAGGACAAGGACAAAGAGGATTCGGTGAGGCATAATGAGCCTGCCAAGGAAATGACCAAGAAATTAAAAGATGCGGATCAAATCAAAGTTCCTGCAGGCCCAGTAAATGCTGTACAGAGAAGAGGAAAACGTTCATCCTCTCATGATTCTGCTTCCTCTGAATCTGATTCTGGGTCCTCATCATCTCGCTCTTCTTCCTCATCCTCCTCTTCTCTTGAGAAAATCTCCACGTCAAGAAATAGAAGGGTAGGCATTCCACGCCGAACCATTTTTCTTGACCTTTAAACAGCCAATTTGCAGCATGGTCCCTTGAGTCGGGTATTATTTTACAGTTACCAATTTCAGTTTGGTTGCGTATAAACTAGAGACGTTGCACAGAAACACAATATTACTGGCACGAGTTCAAGTTGATCGGTTACGCAGGTTCAAAATCATGAATGAGATGCACCGTCTTAAAATGTTGTCATGGTCCTGTCATTTTTTTTTTCCTATTACATCTCCTGGGAGCAAGATCTTGAACACAATGCTGGCTTGTTCAAGTCATGTTGAGTGCTTCGGGAAACTAATAAGGAGAACCAATTTAGATTTTTAACAGCCACTAGTTTGCAGATATGATGTTGGCGCTCTGGAGCCTCACAAAACCAAATAACCAATTTTGGTTTTGGATCCAATATAAAGCATAAAATGAGTTTTCAATGCCGGTACAGGAATGCACAGGTCGGAAATGTTGCCCCCGATGTCATTTATCTGCCGTTTGCTTTTAGGAAGGAAAACTTGACAGAAGTGCTTCACCACAGTGTAGAGTGACTGCTGTGGCTGAAGAGGCCAGTCTCAAAGAAACGCAAAAGGCTTCCCCTCACAAAAGAGAGAGGTCTGTCGAGAAGACCAGTGCAGGAGATGATGAAGCGAGTCAGGCCAAGGTCAGTGGGTCTAATTCCTAAAATCATTCATTTTTCTTGATGGCATTTTCCCTCCAATTAATGGTTCTCCTTATCTAATGGGTGCCTTTACATTCCCCTTGTTTCATAATTTAAACATGCTGGTGTCCCTTAACATCCCAGAAACCATTTATTGAAACAACCACCGGAGACGAGATGAAAAGGAAAGATGCCAAAGGACCGGAGGAAAAGGATGCACAAAGGTTTGCTTTGATATCTTGGTAGAGTGAGATCACTGAAACGTCAAATGAACCTAATGCACGTGTATCTGTTTTAGTGTACATCAGGTCATTGAAAGGAATCTTGCGAAAGATTACTTCACCAAATCGTTCATTTCGCCCCTACGGGAGTAATCTAAAATCATAATCAGAAGTAAATAATCTCCCAAAGGAGACGTGGCTGTCTGCATTCCGCTGCGGTGGACAGCCCCGCCACAGATGCCAACCTCACTTTTATGCTCACCCTCCTCTTGTTCTTCTAATTAGTTCATTTGATTTATTATTAACAAAAACAAGCACAAATGTTCACACCAAATAAGGTGAATAATAACACAATTTTTATGTGATTGGTTCATGTATAAACACAGCATTGCTTGTCAAATGAAGGTTAAAAAAAAAGTGTGTCGATCCAATACTGCATTGATTACGTCTGCGGGTGAGGGCCTGGTAAGCAACGGTGACCAAGCCAGCCACTTTGCTGTGACCCTAGAACTAAACAATATACAATACATATTTATTTATATAGCGCTTTCACAACAGCTGCAGCTGTAGCAAAGCGCTTTACAGAACAGTGAACATAAAAATAATAAAATTGAACACATAACATAAAACAGTCAGAACTATTCATGCATACGCCTTGGTGCTTGAAGCCGTTCTAGATGAAAGAGGAGACAATCAAAGTCTCCTTTCCCCAGTGGATCCGAGACGTCCTGCTCAAAACGTGCCTGACGCCCCACACGTCAGCTACAAGCTAAGTTTGAAACTGAAGAAGAAGCTGTAGTGGCCATTGACGAGAAAAGAAATTGGTTTACAACTTCTGTCAATTTTAGATCAGCTTCAGTTCAAAGCGGCGACTCTCACTTCCAAATACGCGTCGGCGTCTCTCCTTATCCTCGGCTCCACCAGTTTAACTCCGGTTTCCGCACCAAAAATCAGCTCCATTGACCTCAAATTGTGCGAAACATCTCTGGATTCCCCCCCAGCAAAAAAGAAAAAAAATCTGTGGCTGAAAAAAAACTAAGCAGTGACTGGCATGCAGGAACAACAACCGAGACGATGAGGAGAACAGTGTACATTACAAAGACAAGATATTTAATGTGACAGATGAACGTTGTGATGTTTTTGTGCAAATATTCCCACATTTTGGATTTGATGCCAGACTCTAACATTGAATGCAAGGGACTTTCGATGCCTCAGGTGGCACAGTGATTTAAAAAAATGCAGCATCACGGTGTAAAGAATACTGCCACATGTGCTCAACATCAGAGACTGAGAAAACCATTGTCAGTTAAAACAGTTTGGTGCTATGTCTTTCAATGCAAGGTAAAACTACCATGTCAAGCAAAAGCCATTTATCAACAAGACTCAGAAACACTTCTCATCTGGGATGGACTGAGGCAAAGTGGAAAAGTGTGCTGTGGTCTGATGAGTCCACATTTTGGACATCATGGGCGTTGTGTCCTTCAGGCCAATGGGGAAAAAGACCATCAAGATTGTCATCAGTGCATTGTTCAAAAGCCAGCATCTGTGATGTTATGGGGGTCTCTCAGTGCCCATGCACATCTCTTAAGGCACAATTAATGCTGAAAGTTACATACAGGTTTGGGGTAAACATATCTTTCCATCCAAGTAATGTCTTTTTTGCTTGTCTTTCGAACATTGTCGCCGTGGCTTCGTAGTAAAAGATGGGGATTACTGGATTGGCCAGCCAAAAGTCCAGACCTGTCCCCCATTGAAAAAGTGTGGCTGCTTATGAAATGAGAGATAGGACTCGTCTGTTGATCAACCAATTCATACATCAAGCGAGGATGGGAAAGTATTCCTCCTATAAAGCTTCAATAATTAGTGTTCTCAGTTCCCAAATGTTAATATTGAGTGTTGTAAAAGGAAAGGTGATGAAACACAGTGTTTTTGGAACATACTGCAGCCATCATATTCTAAGTTATTGATTATTTGCCCGAAACAATCAGGTTTATCAGTTGAAACATTAGATATCTTGTCTTTGTCGCTGATTCAATTAAATGCAGGTTTAAGATGATGAGCAAATCATTCTGTTTTTATTCAAGTCCCAACATCATTGGAATTGGGTTTGTATATCGACACTCATGAAGGTGCAATAAATAAGAAAGCTCTAAATCATACAGTGTTATTTTTAATTGATGGAACTAAAACAGTAAGCATATCGACAATTATTTATAAATAGATGTATGTACTGCACACTGTTGAATTTCAAATTCATTGAAATTTCCCCTGAATGAACAAACTTGAATTTAACCTTCTGTTCTGGAGGGGTTGTGGTCCTGAGCATTTAAAATGTACCTGAAAGTAACGCTATAGTTAGTTTCCCTAGCAACGAGTCACTTTTGGGGAGCGGTAACAGAGACTAATTGGTGACATTTCCACCAGTGATTTTGTGGGAAGGAAGGCACGTTAGCTCAGCTACAAATGTTGACTTCCCCGCTGAAGGATTTCCTATCAGGCAATAGTCGTGGCTGCCTTCAAGCCAACACGTGGGTCCTGATTCATAATAATCGTTTTCTTCCCTTTGCGACATACTATGGTACCTTCGATGCTCCTCGATCGGCGGTGTAAGATGGAAATATTTTGAAGATCGAATTCGATCGGCCAAATGGCAGGCGAAGTCGTCGGCTCCGACGGGTCATACCGGCCGCCGAAGCAGCCATAAACGCGTTCGGAAAGGAGTAACCTGTGGTGGGTGGAAGGTACGACGGAGGGAGCGCTCGCTGCGGCACCCCGTTTGTGTGTCGCGTTTGACGCCGCATTTGGTCGTGTGTGTGCGTCGCAAAGTTGGATCAGCCGCCGCCGCAGCTACAGCTGCTGCTGTTGCTGTGCTCGCTTGAGGTGACACCAGCAGATGGGAGCATTCTGCTCATCGTGCGTCACCGCCTTGCAACCTTTCGTCTCGGCCCAGGTACACGCAGCCGGGCGCGAGGCGGACTGCGGACGCATTACATCGGCTCGCATTTTCACGCTTGTGCTTAGCTATTTGCTGCCGTTTTAGGACACGTTTCGTCGCAAGCGTTTAGTTCATGTGTCTCAGTTCTAGCCGTCGTTGAGTCGTCCGGAGGGCGGGCATCGGGAACATTTGCTGTAGTGTCAAATCGTGGTACTGCAGGTTATTCACTAGGTTTAAAGCAACATCTATCTACCCCGTGACCTGTTGAATAGAATTAAACTTGTACAGTAATACAAGTCAGAAGGAGCTCATACACTCGCCACAATTTTCTGTAATTCCCTACTCGACCGTGTAATTTTGCTTCATTACTAGCGATGTAATCATGTGTCTTCTCATTTTCTGCTGATGTGAATGCAGGCAGGGAGCCGAGTCTGCTATGCAAGAGTCAGAGAAGCTTGTGGAGTCCACCGAGGAGGTAAGACGGCGGTGGAATTCCTTTTATCCACGTTGTCTATCATAGGGTATTGTGACAAAAGAGTCTAGTCTCAAACACGGAGTGAACCACGAAACACTTTCCCTGCCAAAAGATACACGTTATTGTATGTAATCTACCAAACTGACCTCTTTGTACAACACGTGCAGTAAACACAATTTTTATGACGACTCCCGACAACCAACACAGCCCAATACATCTTTATTATGAATTTTGCTCATCACGGTTCATTTACTGTGTTTTTACTTCCTGTTATCGTCTGCGTGTGCTTTTAATGAAACCTATCGTTAACCCTTTGTGTTCAACCTTTCTTGCTGTGTTTCAGGCACACAAGGCCTTCTCAGCTCGGAAGATCTCTCTTAGCAGTACGTACATTGTCTGTTTATCTCTTTTTACTGTGTTGATTTATTGCTATTGCACAGATTCGATCAAAGATTCAGTCTGCTGCCAGGGAACTCAAATCGGCAATTGTTAGACCTGTGACTTGCTTGGGTAAAACTTAGAAGACTTCACTGAAGTACTTGGCAAGTCTGTCTGTTTATGATTGAAAATCTGCCTTTTCAATATCACATTTTTTTCCCCCTAAAGAAAAGTTTTGTTTTTAAGTGTCATTCGTGCCCCAGGCAGAACACATAGTAGCATTTCTCCAAACAACTAGTTAAGACTTGCATCTTAACCTTTAGTTTTCCTGTTACCCACACCTCCAGTTTATCTTAGTAAACGCAGTAATTATATGAGGACCAGGCAGGTGCCAATGCACAAGCAATTCGCCGAGTGCACTTCAAAAGCACTACTTGAGAAAGTTGTCTTCATATATCTGCTGGGAGCATGTGCTGCTATCTAAACAAAAGGCAACAAATATTGCATGTCTGAATATCTCGTACAGTACCTGCAAACATGCTCGAGTAAAGATATTCACATTAGATCCACTGTCTAAACATATGCTACCTTGAGTTCCGTATGGGCTGAAACTCATGCAGGCTGGAGCAAATCTTGGTCTCATTGCAAATCGCACTCGTGTGCATTTTGAAGTGTACCCGACAAGAACAGGTCCCAAAATGGTTGATCTGCTGCACATGAGAGCTTGCTGTGCTCCCTCCTTCCCTATGCAAATGAAGAGCTCCATCTAAAACGGATTTGAGTATGACTCCATTTATTGTTGCGTTGGCAGGTAGTAAGACCTCTCCGGGCCCGGGAAGTACTGATGGCGATCAGGAAGGTGGGACTGCAGGTAGTCGCAAGAGGAGGTGGGGTTCCAGCACTGTGGTCACTTCCAAGAAACCTTCCATCAGCATCACCACAGATTCACTCAAGGTACGAACAGCAAACCCTCACTGACGCTTCTTCCGGGCCGAAAAACGCTGACCAAGTGTTTTGTTCCCAGTCACTGATCCCCGACGTCCGACCGGGCGTAGGCCAAGACGCCGTTGTGGACCTGCATCCTGAAGAAGTTGTTCTGTCTGGAGCCGAGGAAGAAGATCAAGAGCCGTCCGAGCAGGACCTTCAGATTCGACGCACTGTCACCCAAGTAGGGTATTCGGCGACTTGAATGTGTGCCTCTTGCTACTTCGCCGAGTGACAACGAGTTAACCTGGTCTCTTGATTGTAGGAGGTGGCTTTGGACAGCCAAGAGAATGGGCAGAAGCAGACTAAGAGGAGGAGGTGTGAGAACGTGGAGCAAAATGACATTCAGGGAAACCACAGTAGGATCGAATCTCATGAAGAGAAACCCATGGAAGACACGCAAACACAGTCGCCAGCCCGGCCCAGTCAAGATGGAGAAATCAACACTGGTCATGGTAATCCATCTTTCCTTCCTTCCTGACTTTATTTCTTTTCCTCTTATCTTTCTCTCCATGTCAAGAGCCACATAAACAAACAAAAAAAAAAAAAAAAAACAATCTAGGTTCACACACCTATTTCGAACAACAGTACCAGTGGCTGAGAGCAGAGCGGCAGCACGCTTGCATCTACTGAGTCTGCACAGCATCAGGAAGCGACTTTTCTGTGCCATTTAGCCCTCTGAATTGTCCACAAATTGTGTGATGGTGATGGATTTTCTACCACTACACAGACTCTCTTCCTTTCCCTCCATTAGTGGCCGCAGGTGACACCCTCATTCGTCGCTCCTTCAGCCAGCAAAGAACGGGCGTTTCCATCACCATTGACGACCCCGTCCGCACCGCCCGGCACCCGTCTCCCCCACGTGGCAAAGTTTCCAGCATTGTTCACATCAGTAACCTGGTGAGAAAACAAATGCTTAGTTTAGTCTAAACTTATAAACATATTTATGTGCTCTTGTGTATTTTTATTTTGTTTAATTGGACCCCTCCAAATTTCAGAAACTACATAAAATGTTGTCTCGATGGAACGAGATGGCACTTTGTGCTTTTTCAAATCTTTGAGTGTTGACAGAGTTCTGTGCGCTATGAATGTTTTAGTCTTGGTTTGGAATCGCAATGTATGGCTGACTTTGTTGTGCATTCATGTTGTTTAGGTGAGGCCGTTTACTCTCGGGCAGCTGAAGGAACTGCTGGGCAGAACTGGCACCCTGGTGGAGGACGGCTTTTGGATCGACAAAATCAAATCTCACTGCTATGTCACTGTGAGGCATTTTTAATGGCGCGTGTGATTTTTCACTCAATGGCTGAAATGAGAGTAAACTTAGGCACCTTGCTCTGTCTAGTACTCAAGTTCCGAAGAGGCAATCGCAACACGAGAAGCTCTTCATGGAGTCAAGTGGCCTCAGAGTAACCCAAAAGTTCTTAACGTAGACTTCTGCCAGCAAGATGAGGTTTGTCTTTTTTTTTTTTTTGGTGGACCATATATAAATCCGTGTTCGCCTGATCATGTCTGTGCTTTCTAGCTGGACTTCCACAAAGGATTGGGTGCAGCAGAGAAACCTGGAACGGAAGAGCAGTGGCTGACTTCCAACCGTTTTCAAGCAGCGGCCCTGCCTCCTCTCCTTCCCAAGCGAGACCAGTGGGCCGAACGCGAGCGGGAAATGGAGCGCAGGGAAAAGGCGCGCTCAGAGCGCGAGTGGGACCGCGACAAGGTCCGGGAGTTTGGGAAACCCGGAAACGACGGAGAGGGAGGTCCCCGGAGGTCACGCTCCAGGGAGAGACGGCGCAAGGAGAGGGGAAAGAGCAAAGAGAAGAAGACGGAAAAGAAAGGTAACGCCAGCACGCCATATTGACGCGACGTGCAAGCCCCTGACTGTTTGCATGATTGTCCGTTTATGTAGAGAAAGCCGCCGAGGAACCCCCTGCAAAACTTCTTGATGATCTTTTTCGGAAAACTAAAGCAGCCCCCTGCATCTACTGGCTTCCACTTACCGATGAGCAGGTACGAAGCGCTCAGTCTCAGCTCACACGCACACTTGGAACAGAACATTGCTCAGAGACCCTCACTCATTGGTCTGCGTTTCAGTTTGTCGAGAGGGAAGCCGCCAGAGCGGAGCGGATGAAGGAGCGCGAGAATCGACTGAAACAGCTGCAGCAGGAGGAGGAGGAGAAAAAAAGGAAAGAAGAGCGCAAGGAGAGAAGCAAAGGCGGAGGAGGGCTTGCAGCGGGAGACCGGAGCGAGGGGGCGAAAGACAAAGACCGAGAGAGAGAGCGGGACAGGGACAGAGGTAAAGAGAGGGACAGGGAGAGGGAGAGGGACGCTGACAAACACAGGGATGGCTACCGAAGGCCGGGGACTAGCGGGGAAGGGGGCGCCAGACGCTCCCGAAGCCGCAGCGACCCGCGAGACAGGCGGCGCTAATCAGCTGATGGAACTGTCTCGAGAAACCCGCCCTCCTCCATTTGCCTTCCACTTCGTGTACTTTGTTCCAACTGAGACCCAGCAAAGGACCAACCCCGATGTCGTTTGTCACCCCCTCTTTCAGTTCTCACCTCAAAGCACACGAACACACACACACACACACATATACGCGCAGACGTGTGGAAAGGGGACCAGAAAAGTGCAAGTGTTGTATGTGTCACTCCTTGTCAGGGTTTGATGTATATTGTGTTCATGCATTTGAATTTGCATCATGCATCACTGTTTTTGGGACTCTCCTCCACGCAGTATAGCAATACTGCATGCCGAGTAATTCCTTATCATCCTCTTCCCCCTTCTGACCGAAAGTATTGGTGCCATCATTTGCTCTTTGCCTCCGCATTTAACAGGCTTGCACTTTGGATGAGGCGGACTTGTTGCTGCATGGAAACCAACAATCTTCTCAGCCATCCTGCCTCGAGAGACAGAGGAAGAGAAAGCTCGTCTCTTTGCAGAAGGTGTGCTGAAATGTGGCCAACGTGTGGCATTCTGTACAGACATCTTTAATCATACCTTTTTAACTGAGGCAGCTTTGGAGTATTTTGATCTTAGGCAATGCAGTGTTCCTCTCTCCAGCTGTTTGGAGAAGAAAAAAAAAAAAGAAAATTCTACTTGGAGACTGGAGGCGACGCTTTTTCTGTCGCACCAGATTCCTTTATTATTATCTCATCTATGTTTGTTCCCTTCCCTTGGCGTCCTCGGACGCTCTCACCATGTTGGGCTTATACAGGCCGTTGAGGGGAGGTTGTACTATTTTCAGTTTTCTCGCCAATGAGTTTTAATATTGTTTTTATTTTACCATTTTAGTACAAATGCTTTGTTTTTGATTGTTTTTTTAAATTTCTTCTCTGATTACGCCTATCAGTGGTGAATGTACAAATAAAAAAAAATGGATAAAGTTTGAAAGTATTGGTCTGACTTTCTGTTTCCTCTTCCCGATTTAAGGTTGTGTGTCAAACTTTTTTTTCTTTTTTAGTCCAAATGAAGTACAGTATACTATGCTTAGTCTTTTTAATACAAACGTGTCCTGTAATTCCAACTCCTCTAGTGGTTGAACGATGGTACGTTCTGCCTGTGCCATTACACCAACAGTCCACAAGATGGCGTTCACCACATGCTCCGTTTCGTGACCCCTTCAAAATATATATATATATATCCAGTCCTGCCATGCCAGTGATGGTGACCAAATCCAAGACCGACACTTTCTGCAGTTTGTTGCCACAGCAGAGATGGCTGAAGGTATTCTTTGAAATCCTCATATTTAATCCGCTCGTTTCCTCGCCACCGTTCCCCTCGGTATAAATCACGAGCTTTCCCCCTTCTTTGTCCCCTTTGCTCCATTTTTCTGCTCTTGACGTTCATCCTGCAGACCACAGCTGAGCTCCTGTGTAATTACAGCCCATTGGTCGCTGAGCATGACATTTTTGTGCCCTGATGCAAGTCCACGCGTCTGGACTGATGAATCCTCTGCCATCTTATCCGGCTGACAAACAACTAGGGCAGTTCAGATGTCGAAGCAAATATGAGAGGGTGCTTTATTGGCAGTTGATTTTCATAATGTCATGAGTTCTCCCAGACATTAATGAAGAAAGACAGTTTAGAGAGAGGGACATGCGTACTGCCGCATGTGTTTACAGTACAATACAGTACATTTACAAGAGCCAAACAGCGTGCTTTCTTGCATTTAGAAGAGCCACGCAGCGTACTGTTTCTTGCAGTGGTTCACTTTCATGCAAGAATAGATTCCTTTATAGATAGAATTAAGTCCGCAAATTTCACATGAGGTAAATGGCTCGCAATCATCTGTCCTATGTCTTTGGCTTTTAAGAAAAGTATACTGCAGTACTTCTAACATTGGGGTCAAGGAACCTTTGGAGTCCAGAAGAGAGATCCGAAGATAGGATGCCAGTCCTTAAGACTTTGCGCTGACTCCCTAACTAAATATGTAAAACATTTGTTTAAATTTATTACAGCTCTCCAATTGCCTCCGTGGCGACCAATCACAGAGCTGACTCCCCAACAAAATTAAAACGTTTGTTTAAATTTATTGCAGCTCTCCAATTGCCTCCGTGGCGACCAATCACAGACGAATGTCCTTCCAGATTGTTTTCGGCCCCACATCAACGATCATTGACGAGTGTGCCTGGGGTCCGTCAAGTCGATGCTGCCACTGCCCGGTGGCGACAACGAACGGCATTGTGACACACCGCCAGGTGAAAGGTTACAAATCACTGGAGGCTTACACTTTGTAAGCAGATGGATACAGAGTGTAAACTTCAAAATCTTACCTGAAGGAGGAGTCCTAGCTGGTGCACGGTAAGTACAGCACCTGGTGTTCAGAATTTTGTCCAGATACCGGTCGTGGTTGAAGCTACGTAAGGTAATTAAGGATGATTCTCAGAATCAGAACTCGTTCGGGTTTTGTCAACTTGAATGTATTTGGCTCGTTGTGCTGGTAACGCACCGCTCGGCCCCGTGACTTTACCAGCATCGGCGACAGACGAATGAACAGGACATTGTATTGCTAGTTGTTCAACTGGGGCTTAATTGCCATGGCCCTTTGGTGGTGGGATAAAATGTTCGATCGCCGTATGAATTGCGGCGATCAGAGTAAGACTCAAGATGTTAGCTTTTGGCTAATGTTGGACTAGCTAGCTTGCTCGTGAATCCAAAACATAAACGGCTTGTAGTTTAGAATTATTTCCTGACACATTTAAATCTATTATAAATTAATAACCTCATATTTCAGTACTTATTCTGATTTCAAAGGTAAACAAACTTACTGCTCAAAAAGTGATCGCGGCACACACCGACCCAAACTATGGCTTGAATCTGCCCGGGCGATGTTTCTCAGTCTCTTCACTTTGCATTTTTTAGATTTTTATACTGTTTTCAGGCACTGCTGAATACTTATCTTCGGGCAAAAAAAAAAATAGATCCTATCGGTGGCCTTTTTGCGGACTTGAGCACCTGCCCCTAACGTCTCTGTGCACCCCCCTGGCAGCATGTACTAAAAATGACGAGAACAGTTTGCAACTGCATTCATTCATCTTTTAAAAATGTGTGTATGCTGAGTTTGAGGTGTCCAGACTCAAAGTTCTGCAGGTCCGCAAGTTAGAGGGAGTCAGCAACTCACGTTGCACACCACTGACCCAAACTCCCCAACCTGATGTAATAAAGTGCAATTTTTTTTCCTTTTCTCTTCAGAACCCATAATAGCAGCTGGAGGACCACGATGGACCACCTGCGTCTTGTCCAGAGCTGGGGTTAATGGTACAGAGCAGTCAGCTGAGCAAGACCACTCCCGGTAAGAAGTATGCTGTAAAAGCAATCTTCTTTCGTCCTGTAAGCAGTCCCCTCCCACGCATGCCTCCCCTTCCACAGTCAAACCGCATAGGTCTTTGTGTCCAGCGCTCAACACACAGTCCCGCTAAGCTCCTCTTTCAAAGACAACCTCTCCGGTGGCCTCTCTGATCTCAGCACGACTTTCCTCTGCGTTCAATGTGTTTCTCTGTTGGCACACGGCCGCCCCTTCTGACACATCTTATAGCTTCCCTCTCTCATCGCGAGGCAAAGCGGGAAGGAAACACAAGAAGAGATACGATCAAAGCCATCTTGCCAGTCGCCGTGATTGCAAATCCCTCCGATCTCCCACCACCTCCCTTCTTTCTGATGACTTCTTTGCACGTATGGAAACCAGATGTGGCAGTAAAAGAAGAGTTGTGGAGAGAGGGAAAAAAAAAGTGCATCAGGTTGTAGGATAGCTCTTGATCAGAGTGCAAGGCAAAGAGCTCAGACATGAAATGAGTCCGCTCTCCTGACTAGTTCCCCATTGGGAGGGGGGTTCCCTTGTTTCCTTGTGGATATGACTAGGTCACGATGAGGACAGTTGGCCTTGGAGCAAAACCAGGAAGGAGAGCCTGAATCAGCATCTCATGTCAGAGGTGTTTTCCTGCCAGGCTCAGGGAAAAAACCAGGCCGCATGAGGCAGACGCTTTTAGGGAAAGAAAAAGTCAACTGTTGATCGGTCAGCTTCCTTGCACCTGCAATTTTTGTTTCACCCACACAATACCTCCCTCTGGGCGACTGCGCCCACTGCACCGCAGCCGACACAAAACTGCTTTTTGGGTTTTGACGGTAAAGATCTCTGAGGGGCCAGTGGTGAGTGAAAGTGCAATGTTGAAAAAAAATCTATATTCTACTACGGTAAACCAGGAAATAAATCAGCAGCCATATGAGCCGCACACAGAACACTCACCATGACATTTGAAATTGTTGCATACAACAACCGGAATATCAGATTCAATGCCAGGCGCTTTCTAAAAAAAAAACAACAAAAAAAACAAAGTCAAGCAAACGTTATATCAGTCAAACTTACAAAACCACGTAACGGACTGTAAACTCGCAGAATACCTCGACGTCAGCTAGAAAGCGCTGCTGTGGAGCCTCAATAAGCACCCCAAAAGACTATTTCTCGCTACTATTTCATGTAAATTGTCCCCCTTGACCGACCATTCGAGCAGTGAGACAGCATAAGGAACATTTATAATGCAAATGAAATCCCGGTGTCGCCCATAAGGCCGCTCGCCAGTATCCCCTAATGAGCTACTTCACCCGACGTCCTTGTTGCCAGGCAGAGTTCAACAGTCTTTCTCATTTTAACAGGGAAGTTCCCCGGGCTTCTCGCCGTGAGCTTTGTCCCGCCATTCCAACTTTGATATATGGCTCGGCCATTATATGAGGCGCAACGGACCCGAGCGGAACCTCCTCCAATGGGAAATTTCCACTCATCAACCAGCAGGACAAATACATTAAACTGGAACAGGAAGTGTCCTGCCATGAAAAAAAACTCTCGAAAACACTTAATGAGGTTTGGGACATGCGACGCGGCCACCTTTTCACTTCCCAGACGGCAGAGTATAATCTGGCAACATTTTCTGTTTTATCTTGGTCGGAAAAGTGGCTGGTTTTGTTGAGAGAAAAAAAGAAAAGCTTCTCCAGTTACACAAAAATGTGTTGGGGGGGGGCAAGGAGGTGTTCGGAGAAACTATGCAAAGAGTTGTGCCCATTCTTGACTTCACTTTGCAGACTCAGCAGGAAAAGACGGAAAAGACACTTGAGGGCCACTGCTCCATTTCTTGTTTGTGTGTCACAACACAACATTGTTGGACGTCTTTTTGAAATCCGCATCCGCGGCCACATTGCCATGTCCTGCCGTGCACGTGATGCTTGTGATGCAGTTGCAATTCCAGATGTAGCTCACGGAATTCTGCACCATTTCTGGTCTCCAAATGTGACTTAATCCACCCCGAGACGCACACACACACACACACACACACACACACACACACACACACACACACACACACACACACACACACATCCACAATCCTACTCCATCCTGCAAACAGTCTCGTGATTTGCACTCACGCACTCCCTCCCCAGCCCCGACTGTTCAAAACACTTCAGCCAAGTGGAGACAACTGGGCGCCTTCTTTATTTATTTTTATATATTTATTTCCAGAGGAAGAAAATAACTGATGACTTTTACCGAATGAACGCTGTGTTGTTGTCATTACACATCATTGATCTGCTTTCCCTCACGTTTAAGGCGACGCCCATGTGGGACTTTTGGGTCATTCGGAAGTAAACTTAGAACTTTTTTTGCCTCACGATGGAAGGCACTGTTGTCGAACACACATATAAATGCTTAGTGCATATTAGACATTCACGTATGCATGACCACGTTGAGTTCATCAGACCGGGGTCAAATATTTACCAATGGTATTCATTGCTGCATTAAAGAAAAAAAAATCCACACTCAGAACTTGGGAAACGCACAAACGCGTGCGCACGAGCGAGCGCGCACACACGCACAGCCATACAGCTGAGATATGTTTTCCTGCTGTGCAACGGGTTGATCGTCTTTATCCCTGTTTCTACTTAGGATTTGGACGCATTCCCCAGTTTCCAACCCAATTCCTGGGCCTGATTTTCCGAGCCCCGCTAATGGAGAGTGGAGTGGCTGGGGAGCAAGAAAGCTGGAGGTCCAGGAGGACAGTCGGAGACCAGAAGGAGGGCAAAAATTGGAAGGCGGTTGGGTTTTAAAGAGCAGGTAAGAACTGTATTACAGGAATGTATAACAGGCTGAACAATGAGGGAAGCCTTTCTTCTCCCGTTCCAGATTTCAAATTGATGTCATACCTAAAAACAAAATCCCGTCACGGAAGTGACCTCTCACCTTTTGAAGACTGGATTCAAAATCCACAAATCCATCCATCCAACCATTTTCTAATCCGCTGACGCTCAGGAGGGTCGCGGGCGTGCCGGAGCCCGTCCCAGCCGTCTTTGGTCAGCAGGCAGGGGACACCCTCAACTGCTTGCCAGCCAATCGCACAGAGATGAGCAACCATTTGCGCTCACAATTACAAATTAGAGCGTTCGATTAACCCGCCGTGCATGTTTTTGAAATGTGGGAGGAAACCGGAGTACCCGGAGAAAACCCAAGCAGGCACTGGGAGAACATGCAAACTCCACACAGGAAGGCCGGAATCAAACCCTGCCACCTCTGCACTGTGAGGCGGACGTGTTAACCGGTTGCTCACCGTGCCGCCCAATCCACAAATCCGAATGAAAAATTTGTACGGCTTTTGTAAGCTCCTCAAAATGACAATTCATGTGGCACACTGGTGTGTGTAGCCTCCATGTGACTGACCCACATTTAAACCACAACTTCTCTTATTTCTTCCCAACGGGCTATATTTGATATGGTGTGTTGCACTCCTTCTAGTATGTGGCTGATGATATATATAATATATACTTTTTTTTTTTTTTTAAATAAGTTTTGGGGGGTGGGGTGGGGGGTTCAGTTCTCCCTGCAGGGCCTGTTGAGTTAGTGAGTTTTTTAGGTCATGGATGCAGTAATACGCGTAGGTCAAAGCAATTGTACGTGAAATGCCTCATGAAAGAAACACACCACATGAATACTTTTGAAGTGTCTTTATTTTGTAGGAAATGTCCAAAACGTCAAGAGCACAGACACAATCTCATTGCGGAAACGAGATCAATCTTTCATTATTATCATCATCACTAGTATCATAATCATTGCTGTGAAATTTCTCCTAAACCCTGACGAGCAAAATTAGCACCAAACTGTAAAATGGTAAACATGTACAATGAAAAATGGAAGCCATTTTTTTTTTCAGATTTCGGATTTATTTTCATTTGACCATAAAATCAAAACAATCAAGTTTCAATCACAAATAATAACCCGCGTCCCCCGTTCACTATTCCCACATATAAAATTAAGGCCACTTTCAAAACGGAATGTCACTGTCCAGCAGGACTTTTTAATGACAATGTACAAAAACACATTCATGACACAGACAACAACAATAATAGTAATAGTCATAATAATAATGACAACATCAGCATTTATATAAAAAGGGGAAACACACAGTTTATTGCTCATGCTGATGGTTTCTTTCCCTTTTATGGTTCGCGCTGGCTCCGTTCTCTTTTACTGGAAGGATCAAAAACACAATGACTTTGTGGTTTGAGGAAAAACGTTTGCATGAGTGTCTGGGTGTGTGTGCAGAGGGAACCGTGCGTGTGTGGGGTGTGCAGTACATTGCTGGTGCGGCGGCGGGGGGGTCAAAGACACAATTTGCTTACACGAGGAACATGGTATGCCGCGAAGAGGCAACAAACGCTGAGCGATGGCGTCGACTTGACAAGAAGACATTGAAAAAAGGCTAAAACAAACAAAGCAACAGCTGTGAGCTGGCGTCAGTCCCCACAAGGACAGAGAACCAAATGGAAGGCCCGATCGAGTGCTCGAGCGACGGAGCGAAAAGAGCCTGCCGGTGGTTTCAAAAGTGAAGCGTGCCCGCCCTTCCTCACATTCGATCTTATTTGGGAGAACGTCGCCTTCCATTTGTTTCTCTTTCTGTCCTGCCCTCCTGTTCCGACTACACCTTGTCCAGTAAGGAACGTTGGCAGTAGAGGAGTCGGCGAGGAGTCCCGTAGCGACGGAGAAACACTAAAGCTGCCAGCGTTGCAATCACGCACACCAGCAGGAACAATGGAATGACCACGGCGGCCGCGCCCCCGCCACTTCCCGCCCCTCCTTCCTCGTCCACCTCGATAATGATCACCTCCGTATCGTCCGCTTCCTCTTCCCGATCCACCGTTGTCTCGGTTTCTCTCTCTCTCTCCTTCTCTCTCTCCCTCTCCTTCTCCTTGTCTGTCTCCCTGTCTCGACTTCTGTCCTTGTCGTCGTCGTTGTGGTCCCTCTCCTTGTCTTTGTCGTGGCCGCCTCTTCCTCCGTCCGTCTTGGGGTCTTCGTTGGGACATCCCATCCAATCGCGCAGAGCTGATTTCGGGTAGCCGGGCTCCACGCGCATCATCTGATTGTTGAACTTCCAGTACTTGTTGGCTTTATAAAAGTAGGTGTACGCTGAGGAGGAGGAGAAAGATGAACACGCTTTACTTTTTGGGACTTGATTTGTGTTTTTGCTGTCAGTTGTTGCGTTCGGCCGTTGGGGTTCTCGTTTTGGCTCCTTTAGCTTCGTCTGCTGCTATTGCACGTATTTACGTCATTTACCCCCCCCGCCCAAAAGTTCCGTACTTCTGGGCGGACATACCTTGATCTTTGCTCATGAAGGCTGCCTTGATATTGTCGGGCACTCCTTGCCAGACGCTGACGGGCCTTGGATAACCAGTGTCAACGCTCCGCGATGCTTCGTTAAAACGGTAGTACCTACACAAAGGACAGGAAAGCAGAAGGGACGTCATTTCGGACCGGTCAAGACTTGCCATCAACTGCTGTGGCGCAAATTCTGAGCTGCCGCTGGTTGCAAGGTTGCATTCATACACTGCAGGTCTCATTGGCCAATTGTGATTCAAAATGTCAGACTGACTTGTCTCCTCTGAAGAAGTAGGTCTGCCCAGTGGGGGTGTAATAAAGTGCGGCGTCGATCCGATCTTTCGGGAGGCCGCTGCCCATCTCCCTGAGCTTCTTGGGGTAACCGGCATCGAGGATAGATTCACTAAACACCCAGTATCGATCACCTAATTGGGGAGAGGAAATACAAGCGCCCACAGTGAATATTATTTCCTTGAAGTGAGGAACCGGTGGAATCTTTTTCTGTCAAACGCGAAGGCAAAATTGACCTTTGAAGAAAGCAAACGTCCCATCCTCCCTTTCAAAAGCGGCATTGATGAGAGTAGGCAGCCCCCTCCAGAAGTGACCGATAGGCATGGGGTATCCATCCATCACTTGGTTGTTCCTCACACGCCAGAACCACTTATCCTGAGGGGGGCGGGGAGACAACTCATTTCCTAACAGCCCCTAATCTCGTCAAAACAAGATCTCGCGGCTTTACCTTGAACACAAACATTTCGCCTCTGAGGATCGCGATGGTGTCAAAGTGTCCCTCGCAAATGTTTGGGCCAAAACGAGGTTTGTCTGGTGTATAGCTGGGAGTTGTGTCTGTTGGAATTCGAGGTGTCGCAAATGGGGGCTGGGGGCCTGATCCGGAGCCTGCAATGGGAAAATCGCAAAGGAAAATGTTAGAGGTCAGTCCGACCCGCTTTGGAAAACTTCAGCAAATAGTCTCCACCGATATGTTCAGAAATGATGAGCCACTGTACCATAAAGTTGTTGTATGCCTCTCAGGTCGTCTTCGGGAAGTTGGAAGTTCTCGGTGTCCATCCATTGGTAAAAAGGGGCCATAATGGCCGAGGGGTCGTTGGAATGCTCCAAACCGAGAGCGTGGCCCAACTCGTGCACCGCAACCAGGAAAATATCATTGCCTGGAAGCATCCAAACATGACGCAATGTGACGAAATAGGAAGAGGAAGGGACATGAAGATAACATGTGAAATGCTCAAACACCTTTCCACATGAGAGGGCTTTTTTATGGCGGTGACTAAACGTGGATACAAAATACTTGACCCGTCTGCAAATCAAAACCAGGACGACGAGTGCAAACATGTGCAAGTCGTGCGAAGACTGACTCAAGCCAATCCAGAAATAAGCACTTCCCCATCTTAACAGAAAGACTCTGGGAATTAACTTCATCGTGCCGACACGAGATGGGACATGTCGGCGCTGGTAGGACGCACGCACCAGCAAAAAAAAAAAAAAAGTCTTGCACATTTCCCAGGACTTGAGCTTGTGAATGACAGAGGCGACTCCCTCTGTTGATCAAAATGCGTCAGCCCTCGCTTGGCGGCGCCTTACCCATCAGATCCCGGTTTCCAATGGTCCAAGGCTCAGCCGCATCAAAGTGGGTGTCCCCCCCGATGCCATTCCCGGGGAAGTAAGCGTGGGCCAGGAAGCCTCCCTCGCCGTCGAAAGGGCTGCTGTCGCCGTGGAAGCCCTCGGCGAAGAATATCATGATGTCCGCAAACTCCTCCACTTTGTCCCGGATGTAGTGGTAGGGGATCTCCCGGAATCGCAGTGGGGTGACGCCCTCCCACACCTTGAAGGCCCTCCTGATGGCCTCGTGGGTCTCGTACTCGCCCACCTTCGGTGTGTAGTTCTGTATTCTGAGGATGGGCACATTTTGTCTTTTGAAAGTTGCGCAGTACCAGGACATTTTGATTGAGGGGAATTTTGGCGCTGAACTGTGGGAAGTATTTGAACATTGCAATAGCTGTTTTTTTTTTGTTTTGTTTTTTAAAGAAGGTAATGTGTAGATGGGTCTTGGTGGATCTCCATGTCTCCTCGAGTTGCCATGGAGACAGCAAATTGGACATGAGTGGCCTCCAGTAAATGAAAGGAAAGGAAAATCTGAATCTGAGTACGCGTGGCAAGCTACGTTGCTGCATCTGCTGTTTGCGTTGTTGTTGTAAGCTGAAATACTGTATGACTTACGGGCTTATGTTTACATCATACTTGTCGGGTAGAATTTTGCGAAGCCGTCATACAGTTATGTGCATTCGATCTGATCTTGTTCATTGTGATGGCGATGAATTGACGGCTTGCTTGTTGTTCGCTAAACTGGATGGATGTTCATTCGTCACTTACGAAAATGTGATTTGGTTCTTGGTCCACTTCAGGCCCTGGACGGCGTAACGCTTTCTCCGCAGGCTGGTTTTCAACTCGGC